CCCTAACCCTAACCCTAACCCTAACCCTAACCCTAACCCTAACCCTAACCCTAACCCTAACCCTAACCCTAACCCTAACCCTAACCCTAACCCTATAACCCTAACCCTAAATTTATAAGGCTATAATATACGTAATCGGTACGCTATAGTAAAGTTCAGATATAGATTCGAAAGCCCTTTATACGCTCTATCTATTCCTATAGATATCTTTTTCTAATTCTTATATATAAGCCCTAAACCGAAACCCGAAAACGTATACTAGATTAGAGGGCGGAGGGGTCGATAGCGGCGATAACGCGTCTATCGCTATTACTTTAGGGTCTAGAGGGAATATATAATAATATAGCTAGCCTTTCGGGTTTAGTATCTAAGCCTTTTAGGGTTAGTTTATGCCTTTTAGGGTTAGTTTATGCCTTTTAGAGTTAGTAGGAGGTATATAGAAGTAATATAGTATAGCCTATATAATAGTAAAGGACAATATAAGCGAAAGGCTATAGTATTAGCCTAGAACCTCTACGAGGTTTAAGTAACTACGTACTCTAATTAGCTAAATATATATACTTTTTATAAGGCTATAGATCTAGCCCTAAAAGGTAAAAGCGGCCGGCGGCTATACGGTTCCGGAAGTAAGATTAGAGTTACGTAAGGTAGTAAGAACCTCGCGTAGGGTAAGTCGTACTAGATAGGGTGCTCCTATATCTAGCTATACTTAGAAAACCTATATATAGCTACCCTCGTACGTATAGCTATATAGCGGAGTAAGGCCCGCGAAAGCCGCCTAGCCTATCTATAGCCGGAGCACCTAATACTAGTAATTCGGACAACTAGATTAATATGCCCTTAAGTAGTAACTATTAACCGAGATGCTTCGACTATAGCTACGCTAGCCGGACATTTTCGTATTAGGGAAAAACATCGCCGATACGTTCGGGAGCGTAAACCTTCGAGGAGTATCGCGTTTACTTTCTACTTTAAAACTCTTAGCCGTAGATACGCATTAAGATTATAACTAGTACGAGCCGCTTAGTAAAATTATTACTCGCTATTAAGAAGATAGTAAGAATATTAAGAGGAAGAAGTATACCCTCGGAGCCCTAATAGATCGTAGTAGGCATTAATTATAAACTCTAGGGTACTAAGAATAGTATATAGACCGTCTCTATCGTATAGATAGTAGATAATAGGGAGGACGAGAGTAAGAGGAAGCGGGGTAGGAAGAATGAAATTATATGTTTAGACTCCGTCGCCTAGTTTCTAGTTTAGAGTATACGGCTAGTAATTTGATCGGTATATCAAACCAAGTTTATAATAAAGACCTATATAAAAACAGCTACGACGGTTAAGTACGACGGACGGGAAAGATCCGGAGTCCTAGATTTACTATCTACCCTAAGAGACATGTCTTTAACATCTACTACGTACCCTCGTCTCCGTAGGATTAAGATTACGAAGAGTTAGAAACCCGATCTCTTTACTACCGACGGTAAGCATTACTTTATTAATAGTATAATTAGGGTACGTTAGAACACTTGGCCCTTACGCTATTCGATACTAATTCGTGATTATGTTTAGAATGAGCTCTTCTCTTATATTACGCTAATGTCGGAGGAGTAAACAGATGTATTCTTTATAGACTAGAAGAGTATGCCGCTTAAGGAAGTATACGATAAATAGGTAGAATTCGTAATTAAGCAAACTAAGGAGACGGAAACTATAATCTATAGTCTCGAGGGCATTCAGACTAGTAGTAATCCGTAATAAGAACACCGTAGCGGGTAATAGGACGGAGAGGGCGAAAAGAATATAAGAGAATAGGGATACTTACTCACTTGTTTACTTGAACTCAAATTTGGTGTTTATGGTTCTAGAATGTAGAACACTAAGACTCTAGGGACAACATTAGTTTAGTTTGCTCCTCCTCCTTTCTACTATTATCTTCGTAAAGTCTTCTAGGGGAGTTCCGCGCCGTAGATACTTCGATCTAAAGTGTTTAGTCTAGGGATGGGACACTATAACCCCAGCGGTTAGTTCGTTACTAATTGAACATGTATGTGTAGGCCGTAAAAAGACATAAAGGTAGGATATAGTAGAAAGCGCGTAAATAAACGAACTAAAATGAAAGTTAGGATTCAGGTATTAATCTTATATTATATTGTAAATGAGGACGCTCCTTCGGTAAGGTCGACTTTATATAGCCGTCACTACTACTTTGCTATAGTGCTTACGTATATATGCCGGACAAATCACTYGTACCTACGAACATTTCTCTACCGTACTAAACAAACCGACWCGTAAAACTGCTCGCGTAGACCGATAGGGGACAACATTATACATGTTATCCTTATATACAAGAAATTAACAGACAGCGGGCTCGCCTTCGGGAAAAGAATAGGAGAGAGTTAGTAGGAACTGTCTTTTATGCTTAAGAGCGAAGTAGATGGATAGATTAAAGCACTATTAGGAGTGTCTATAGATTAGTTGACAAGTAGAGCCTAGCACCAAGTAGAAAGGCGGCTATTATAGTCGCTTAATTCYTATTGTCTACTAAACGCCTTATAAGAAACTACGGGGACGGGAGCGAGGAGGGCGAGAATATAGGACAGACGGCTTAGCAAGATAAGCAAGCTCAACCTATAGTGGTATAGCGCACCACTTTCAAGCAAAGCATATGCCTTCCTAAAGTGGCTTCCCTTTACCACTTCTAAAAACGATGGTAGGGATTGAGTAGTAAGGAAGAGCGGAGGGCAGGACAACTAGGAAAGCGTATAGGACGGCTCATACGGTTGCTTGAAACTGTGCATAGCCAGGCACGTATACATATCATATAGCCCATTTGAATTCATTCCGCTCTATTCCATTACGTATACATACAATTATGTTCATACGCACTTTGGMTCCGTTGACYACATTGAGAACAAGATCGGCTGCCCACAATGACGAGCGAGTATTCCTCAGCTTAGTTCTACGTCGTTCCAATTGCTCTTTACCAGAGCTTTGGGGAAGGCKCACCCATTCCTAGTCCTCCTCCGCCTAACCTCCCCACTGCCCGGTTCGTCAGCATACTCCACATTATCGGCAAACCCCCAGCCTTTTTCCGTAAACCAATCCTCCCTAAAAGGCCAGATAGAATGTCATATCCTCCACAATCGTTCCTTTCCCATCGAACGCTCTCGCCCAAAGCTCACACAAGCTCCGACCACGAACACTCCCATGGACCAACTCGTCAGCCCGGAAAATAAACGTCTTGGACAGGAAGAACTCTTTGCGGTACTTTGTGCGCAATGCGCGATTGATCCGGTGGGAGACGGGCGGACGCCATTCGCCCGTTATTTGGATTGTAGGTGCGATAGTACTGACCAGGACGTGGTCCAAGATAAGTTCGGCCAGCTCGCTGGGCAGGCGCTGAATAAAATTGGCGATGAAGGGCACAGATAGGTCGAGAAGTTCAACTCTGGGTCGACGGTTTGGACAGTGGGAGATGGGAGTGACTGACTCGTAGGAAATAGTTGTGGTCGAGGATGTTGTATGGATTGACATGGTCGCTATGGTGCTCTTTGTGATGTCGATACGACGGCTTGCTCGGCGGAAATTGGGTCTGGCTTTCTCAATGGGTCCCGTTCCAACAGTCGACTTGCCGGGGGAGAAGAAGAAGCTGAAGTAGTGCGCGATAAATGACCAGCCAATAGACTAGTCGGGCAGTAGCTGAGTCAGGTACTACGTAGTACAGCTTCTTCTACGCTGTGCCCGCATGAGTCAAGAGAATTCACTAGAGTATCAAGTCAATGGAAGGGTGCCTCGGCTCACGCACTCAAAACCGCCATTTCTTGGCATTTGATACCTTAACTTCTGGCACCCTCTCTATCTGCGACCTTCGAGTTTCTGACCGACTAAGGTAGAATCTAACTWAAATGTATTGTTTATTGCATTTGAGAGTATTTTTCTCTCCAATTTCAGGTCTGTTTAGCGATATCTAAGTAGAAGAAATTATAGTATACCTGCGAGCTCAGTAGTCTCGGCGGTTTTTATTCGCTGCGAGCAGTTTCGAAGCTGATGAAAGGGGTTAACTGTGCTCGGGGTTTTGACCCCTATGCTTTACCCTAAGAAAATCTCTGAAGACACCCAGCCTATGCACCACACGAAAGCCTCATGCAAGCAGTAGGGGTGTCAAGCACAAGTCACACATCCTTCAGCTACGTTCTTTCTTCCACGTCGATCTAGAGATGTRGATCTTGAGCTCTGGCATCATAGTGACGTCGGCTCTATACTGAATCGCGTTCCATTCGTAAATATTTGCCAGCTTCGCAAGTTTGGCAAGCATTGGAATTTGTGACACTAATGCTGTKCCACTGTCATTGGCAGCATAACGCACGACCGGAGGGTCTGGAGCTTTATGACTCGTAGGAACTTTCCGCTCACTCTGAAGAAGACCGTCTTGCATGAGACGACGCAACGGACCGCACTTGCATCAAAGAAGCGGACAGACGTTCCGGCGTGGGAGAAATCGGAAGATGCTGTATGATCCACGGTTCTGCCCTGAAAAGGCGAGGATACGGATTGACTCGTGTACAAGGACAGTCACAAATTAGTGCGGAGAAGGATCAAATTGCTAGTCATAGGTCAGATTGCGTCTGTGTAGAGTCGTACAGACATTTTCCAAACTCGGCTAGTATCTACTCTGTGCAAGAAGTTCCTTTTCRATTGCCGATGTGCCCTAACCGCCGGATGTCGTTCGCACGACTCTCATCACCGTTTAGGTATGTAAATATATAAACATGTATATTGCTTGATGGTCCAATGCTGCATCCATGCCCCTCCTCGACCGGACCGAACCACCCCATAAAAGACCAAATACGATGGACTTCCCAGAGGAGAAATCAGCGCCGCCGGACACAAAGGACGTGGAGCATGTCATCGCATCTTTACAGCAAATCATCAAACATGAAGACGTGCGCGCTGACGTTGTGGCCAACAAGCAACTACGAAACCGTCTGGCTGAAGCGTGTCGCCACACGATGCTTCGGTTAGAGCAACCTTGGGACAGTATTCGACGTTACAACTATGCAGTGTTTGACGTTGCTATCGCCAAGACGGGGCATTCAATGGGCTTGTGGGCCGCTCTGGTCGCACAATCACCAAAGCCCGTTCACGCCACACAACTGGCAGAAACAACCGGGGTTCAATTCGCTCTACTGATGCGCCTCCTCCGTTACGCGACTGCTCAGAGCATGGTAGAGCAAACTGATGTGCTGTCCTTTCGAGCAATCGAAGCCACTCGAACACTTAGCATGCCATTGATGAAATCCTCGTTCGCTGTCGCGTGAGTTTGGGGCAACATCTCATTACGAGCATTGGACTGACGAAAAGCAGCACAGAGATTCTGTTCCCTAGCGCTCTGGCCATGGATGCCTACTTCAAGTCATCCGGTTCGGAAGAGCCCACAGATAGGGGTAACACACTGTTTCAGCAAGCCTTCAACACGAGTCAACACTGTTTCGAATGGCTGTCTGCTAAGCCCGACTTGGGTCAAGACTTCTTCAACTTGATGATCGTCAGGCGAGCAGGACTCAAGACTTGGCTCGAAGGTTTCGCCGTCGAAAAGTACATCGATGTGAATGACAACACTGACCGTATACAATTCGTGGACGTAGGCGGTGGAACTGGCCAACAAGCTCTCGCTGTCTTACAAAAACACCCAGAAATTGCAGGCAAAGTTGTCGTACAGGAAACACCCTCTCTGGGAGCCTTGAAGCTCCTCCAAAAAGACCCGCAAGGCTTGACTCCTATGGCTGCCGACTTCTTCCAACCAAATCCGCTGAAAGGTGCCAAGGCATACTACATGCGCAACATCTTGCACGATTGGCCCGATGCAGAATGTCGGGTTATTCTTGGTCATTTGAGAGACGTTTTGGAGGAGGATTCGGTGATTTTGCTCGATGATCTTGTCGTTGATGATATGGAGATGCATTGGCATCCCTCCGCTACCGATTTGACTATGATGACGCTTTTGGCTGCCAAGGAGCGGTCGCTGGCCGAATGGAGTGCTCTGATCGAGTCGGTTGGGTTGGAGAGGCGGGAAAATGTGGCGTATGATTCCTACGGATTGAATATTCAGGTATTGGGCAGGAAATCATAATGGCGAATTGAAAGGGAATGATTTAGTTTGACATTTGACGGAAAAGAGGAGACAAATACAAAATCCGAAATCAGATCAAAATCTATCAAATCAAGACTGGCATGTACAATCGAGAAAGCGTTAAACGTTGGCCGCAGAGGAAAATTGATGCTTATGGGTGCACAATTGCCAATGAGAAGGCTCCAAATTCGCCCTTCTAGAACAACTCAAGTGTTACCGTTTCCAAAGGTAAAGGATTTCCGCTTCAAGGAATGAACAGGGGTACCATAAATTATTGATTTATCCCCTCGCTTGAGCACACCATGAACGCATTGCCAGTTTGTATGTCCGACCTGCCCTGCTTTTCTCTGCCTGCCTGTATTCTGTATGTCCCTTGCTGGAGTTCTCTGCCCGTATTCCGTGGGCCCCTCGCAGGCGCTCTATAAAACAAAGCAACGTACCAAGCGATAACAACATGCTTGACGCAGAGCACCCGAGGCCGCACGATGATCCCATTGTATCGCGCAGCTGATCTAGTGATGGTCAAGAGAATATCTGCGTAGGTCTCAAACAGAACGATGCTTGGACGCCTCCCACCGCTTGACATCTGCATAGCTATATTGTGGTCGTAGAAGACTTGCGTTCTGACCCCACTGCCTCATATCCGGAATGCTATATTGTGGTTGCAGATAAGTTGTACTTTGGAAAGGTTCCGCCGTGCCAGGTTCTGCTGTGCCAGCACCTATCCAAGACTTCCGATCACGATGTTGGACTTGCGTAACTTCGGGTCCTATTTCCGAGGTCTCTCTTGGATCGCGGTAATGTTTCCTCTTGCTGCTTCCATCCGGGACATGGAAGCGCTGGTCAACTCTGGTCAGCAAAAGCCAGTATATGACGATAATCTCCAGTACGCCGAACTCGAACGTGTAAAACCATGCTTTCGACTGATACCAAGCTGGATTGTCTACTGGTCTGGCTGGGCCCCAACTCGTCGCGGTCCGGAATATTATCTCGAGCAGACAGACGTGACTTGATACCCACACAATCACCATCTTTTCGCCAATGCTCCCTCGTCCGAAAGTTTCTGCGCTTTCGCCTCTGAAGAACGTGACTGGCAGTGACACGACCGGGATGAGAGTGAAAACCAGCAGATATGTGGTAGCGGCCCGCTGAACAGCGACTGTGGTTGTCTGAACTGACGGAGTCAGAATGTAATAAGAGATTATTGTCCAGCAGACGACCAGTATGAGGGAGGCGCCGGCTAGAACGTAGAGAATTTTGGGCACCAGGCTTGCAATGGGATGCCAGCCAAGTTTGGGCTGCACGGCTCGAATGATTCTCTGTGTGAAGATGATGTTGACCACCCACACAATCAAAATACCAGCCTGGACGAGGATATTGGCAGCGATTATGAGCGAGACATTGTCAGGATGCGTTGCCCAGGCCATCCTCAGCGCACATGTCATTATTCTGGACATGCAGAAACCGAACAATACAATCGAGGGATAGAATTTGTGGCCTTTGCTCCGATTGCGTCGAAAGATGACATTGTGGCCTACAGCAGCGCCGGCGTAAAAGAGCAGGAGGATTATGCATATTGGGACGTCTGTTTCGAKAGTGGGTACGCCGCCAGTGAATGCCACCGATGGCATGTAAGGTGGCTGAACAAATTTAGTTCATACCTGGCATGTAGTACAGTACTCGGAACTTACGCCTTTTGCGCCAGATTCTTGTTGTGCGCTCATTGCTGGAGAAGCGGGTCGGTGAAAGCGGCCGGAGCGACTTGGTTGTAAGTGTAATGGAGCGAGTTGAGTGGGATCTCTTGGCTTTCCGAATACATCCTTCTGGTGAGTTACTATCAGGTTTGTCCTGAATCGTATGGGGTGAAGAATGACGACGATATGATGCATTAAATCTGTTACAGTAGTTGTTTCGCCGCTCTTAAGTGCCAGGAGGTTGGCACAAACACGCTACACACGATTCAGATTTCAGTTCTGTAACTTCTGTTCTCGATGTCTCGAGACATTTTGAGTGTGATAGTGACGACAAGTTGACAATGGTGCATTGAACTCAATGCGGCACCATCTTGACTGTGGTCGTAGCTTGAGGAGCGAGACTAGTAGGGATACTGTCTATCGCAATGCACACACGATTCAGGTACTTAGAGCAGGGCATAGAACGCCAGCATTAATACCTGCCCCAGCTAGTTTCGTCGGTCCGCGGGGAAGTTAGAGGGCCCTACCACTAATATTAGTACTACAGCGCACTCTAGCATCCCTAAATTAAGTCCAATCTACTCTAATTCAGTCCTATATCGTTCCTACTATGTCGGTGAGTGGTCCGTATAAAAGGTATTGTTTTTAACTATTCTAACCACGCGTAGGAGCCTCGTAAGGCTACTAGCCGGTAGTTAGAGACCTACCTCTATAACTAGCTCCGAGTAGCTTTCGAAATCACTAACCGTAGTAACCGTGCTATTAGACGTACGTACGGTATTACCTATTACAAGATAGTTGGCCGTATAAGGCTTAGTTTCGAGTTGTTTAGATAGCCGTATCCTCTACCTACTATACGTAGAGGTAGGCTACCGCGCCTTATACGAGATAAAGAGTAGGGCTTCCTTCGGTATGTCTAGTCGTAGCCGGATGCCTACGCGGATAAGATAGCGTAGTAGATATTCGATAATACTAGCTACGTRTATAGCGACCGCGGCGTATACGCCTTACTATCGCGGTTATAATRGACTCGAAAGGTTRCTCGGCGGATTACTAGAGAGCGCGATAAGCRACTACGGTCGTATTAGCGCGCGAAGGCCATCGGATAGAAGCGTAATAACCTAGTATTTATCGACGAGTTAGCGTRTAATAAGCGGAATAGATATAGGTAGGTTRTTAGTGTCGCTATAAGGTTACGAGAGTTACGAAAGTTAGTGTTTTAGCTTAACTAACAACACACTTAGGAAGTACTCTTAGTTACTAATTAGCTATCTAGTAGACACTCGGTTACTAACTAAACGCTCTAAACGGTAGTTACTAGTTCTAGCATTTATAATGCGAGGTTACTTAGACGGTCTATTATTAAAGYAAGGAGCGATTACCGTAGAGGAYATACTAAACTAGCTAATCTAATAGGTCCTTCTACAACTAGCTACTAGCATAATTRTTATTATAGAYAATRCATTAATCTACCGCTCTAAAGCTRTCGAAYAGGCCGTTTAAGAGGCTAGCTATACACTCGAGATGCTACTACCTTACTCTCCGGACTTTAATCTAATAGAGYAGTTATTTAATGTCCTTAAGTTATAGATAAAGCGACACCGAAACGAAGTAGCGGCGTATACTAATTTCGAGGACTTCCTTATCTACGCTATATAGGAATAAGAGTTCGAAACAATAGCGTAGAAGCACTTCGAAAAGAGTAGTTATTACCTATAGCTTACTATTAGAGCTCGTCTCTATATATACATTTATCGTAGTTAATATTAGCTAGTCGTATTATATATACGTAGGAAGCTCCGTATCCTCTAGAGTATTAATCCTTTCCTTATGTCCATCTAATCGTAGTAATATTAGTAATATTGCCCTTATTACCTACTCTAGAGTCTCTTAAATTATAGCAAGTTGTTTGTCCTTAAAGATAGTCGCGAGTTCCTTATATATTAGTAGTRTAGGGAACGGTAAGGACGTAGTATTCGGTAGTAAGGACGGTAGAGCGCGTAGTAATAATATGTCGACCTATGCATTTCGAATTATTCGTGTCTATTAGAGGTTGGATTTAGAGGCTTATAATAGTCGAGATGTCGCTTTAGTTCGTATCTAGTTTACTTATATGTATAGCTAAAAAGGGCCGTACGCGACGCTCGGCGAAGTTTAGAAAGATTAGTAGAGTTAATGTAGTCGAGCGTATAACGAAGTTAAAGCCAACTTAAGACGAACTCCCCGCGGAAATGCTAAGAATACCGTTTAGACCCTAAAATCCCGAGATCTACCTCGTACACGGTATAAATGCGTAACAACCGTACACTCTAAATTCACTAAATAAATACTTAAAATTCGAGCGCGTCGAGAGCTACAATTTGAGCTATCGTTAACCGAAAACGGCGTTATAGTTGCTACGTAATCTAATATAGACTATATACGGCCGTAGGTCGACTTTAGATAGACTTCCCTAAGCTTTAGTAGGGCTTAGCGAGGTTAACTATACTTAAAACTTTCCCTACC